GGGGGGGGGAGGAGAGGCTCCAGCTACGCCTCCACCGCGACAGCTCCGCTCAGGCTTTAGGGGGGGATTACTAGCAGCTTCATCAGCGCTAGGGCACGGAGCAGCACAGAGACCAGAGCAGGTACTGAACGTCCTCAGTCCTGTGGGGGGCACCAGGGCCGCGGGAGAGGTTCGGTTCACTGACCCGTCTCCTATCTCTGTAGCAAAAGCAAAGAACACGGATGAGCTTCTCGTACGAAAAAAAGAATATGCGTAGGTGTCGAGTCCCCCTGATTGGCAGATTCTCGCGATTTGCAAGACGCCGGCGATGGAGCCGTCGAGGTCAGCCAGCCCCCCACCCTCTCCCACGACGCACAAACAGCAGAGCGCCCCGTACAGCAGATGCCACCGCATTAGCTAGATTGTGCTTTATTTTCCTTTGTTGAGAAAGTTGATAATTGAACGGAATTGTGTCGTTTCCTTCCGCCTACAGAGAGCGCCATTCCACCCAATTATACGAGGCCGGCAAGGCTTATCAGCTCCCAGTTGGACCGAGGGGGAGGGCGACAGCCGCATCCTCGCGCGTCGTGCACATGGGGGACAGGGGACATCGGGGACTCCATGCACCACGGTTCCGCCCTTTGGGGAGGACCCCGGCCTGGCCTCGAGGTCCTCCGTCTAGTCCTCAGTGGTATGCACTATGATACCCCCCCCCCCTCAAAATAAATATACTGGAGCGAGGCAGTATTCTGCGGTTAATCGAAACACCGTCCACAGCACACGGCGCGCGCCCTGGCTTGGCGGCCCTGACTCGGATCACAACTCTTGGCGCTCTGCACGCGGTGCTGCTTGCCGCCGTCGCAAACGTTTCTTGGAATCAATTCTCGCCAAGCCGAATCAGGGTCACGGGCGGCGGCGGAGTGCATCGCACAGTGTAGAGTGCAAACGCTGCCACTCGAGCTAGCGCGCGCCGCGCGCCAAAAGCACAGGGCAGAGAGTCCTGTTTTATAGTACAGGACTCTAGCAAAGGGATGTCGTGAGCGACGCCGCGGGGGACGTTGAAACTTGGTGATTCTAGCAGCGTGGGGCTGAAGCATGACGTCACCAACCTCTGCGTCACACTCAGCTGGGCACGGCGCACGGCCGCCGCCGGCCCGCGTGGGCGGAGGATGAGGGAGGAGAGGGAAGGGATGCGAGTAAGACCCCCGCGGACCCGGCCGGCCCGATGGGTACCGGCTCCGAGAAGAATGATCGCGAGTGCCGGTCCCGGGGGCGGGGCGCGCGGGTGGCAGGGCGGGGCAGAGGAGTGTTGTGGGGGTCTTATCTCGGCCTGGTCGGAGGGGCCGGCGGTGTCGGTACGGGCGCGGGGCGCAGCACCATACGCGGCGCAGGCCTGTGTTGAGGCCGCCGCCAGACAACGCGGCCGACGGCGCCGCGCCGCCCCGAACCGGGCCGAGATTGCCGAAACGGAACGAAAGGAGTTTGGCAACCAGGAGACGCCGACCTGCGCGGGCTACGAGTTTAGCACCTGCAAACGCGGCGGGCGGGCGACTGTGCGGCCGCCGCCACGCGCCTGCGCCGAAACCAACTCTGACAATTTATTTTCAAGGCTACCCCTCCCTGTAGTGCCCCCCCTCCCCCGCCGCCGTTTTCCATCCGCGACTAACTCGTTGTGTATCGGCGCGGACCGCCGCCACCACCACCACAGCGGACCCGCCGATGTGGGTCGTCGCGCGGTGGCGACGTCTGGAGGGCAGTGAACTCGAGGCGCGCCGCGCCCGCCGTGCTGTGCACCTCGCCGATGTGCCCTCCCTGTCCTCTCGCCGCCCCGCCCCGCCCACGCACCACCACCGGGGATTTCTCGGAACGCGCCGACCCCAGCAGCAGCAGCAGGGCCCCGAGTGGTGCGGACAAAAGCGCGACACGGCTTAGCCGGGCTGAGTGCGAGAGAGAGAAGGGCATTGGCTCTGATCCCCGCATATATGCGCCGGACTGGTCGCGCCGGGCCTCTCGCACATCGCCTCCCGCCGGCTCCGCCCCGCACCACCGCCCTCACCACGGGCGCGACGCGACAACGGGGAGCTCGGCCAGCTCGGCTAATATCCCGACAATCATTATTTGCTCCGCGGCTCACGGCGGTTTCCGGGCGACACCGATCACATCAGCGTCTGTCTGCCTGCGGCTGCCTGTCCACCACCACGTACGCCCCCCAACGATCTACGCACACTCTAAATGGGGAAAGGACAATTTTGTATCTAGGAGAGATGCGTTCTTAAGCACATCTCTAGCGGACGCAAATTTGTATCTAAAAAGTTACAACTTGTACCTAGACTAGGTACAAATAACTTTATTTTGTGTCTAATTTACGTGCAAATTTGCATCCGCTAGAGATAAACTTAGGAAGGCATCCCTCCAAGACAAAATTGTCCTTTACCATTTAGTGTGCAGCGACAGCGCAGCGGCTGGAGGGGCGCGCAGTCTGATCACTAGATAAAGTGTCTGATCCGCCGGGAGCGCACGGGAGATCTAAATGCGCGTGGAGCGATGGAGGGTGTGGGCAGGCAGGCTGGGGGGTACACATACACCTTTTGTACGGCAACTTAAAGTCTAACGAATAAGACATGACTGGATATGATTGAGAATTGCGATTTGGATGCGACTAGGGAAAGACTGTGGGTAGGCGAATCCGTTAAGCATTTGGCTGTGCACATCTGTACACTTTTTGTTGGAACAAATTTGAACATAACTATGCACAAATTGTAGAAAGTTATGCATAGAATTGGGCCGCGTACCGAGTGTTCCTTTACAATCATGCAGATTTACGCACGATTAAATGCATTGGTCTGCTTATGGATGCGACTGGACAACTAGCAGGAAATGTCTGGAAGGGAAGGGACTCTATAATGACCGGAAAATACATATAGAAATGAGCCCTGTTCACTGACGGGTCAAAAGGATGTAGCCTTCAGGTTAGGCCCTTCGGCGTTGCCACATCGCTCGGGCCGTCCCCTTTGAAGGTGCGTAAACCACGATGCAGTAGGGGTGCAGGGGCAGGGCTCCAGGGCGGCCCCGGGCGCCGCCGCGGAGGTGCGTATTTCCCGTGTCTGGAGCGTTTTTGAGGAAGTGTGTCTCGTCGGAGGTTCTCCGCCGCCCCGAGGACGGCGACGGCGGAGCTGGCGGCAGGCCATGCTGAACCCGGATTAGCAAGAAGCAAGTAACAGGGGCGTAGCTAGTTCCGAGAAAAGGGGGAAACGATAACAGCTTGAGCCAAAAAAATATTACCAGGAAAGTAAAGTACTACTGACTGTATCATCGTTATATCAAGCTATCGCAATGATTGAAGGGCAAGGCCCAGCTCGCGGGTGGCGCGGGAGCAGCCCCAGCCGTAGTCATGCTGCCCCCGCGCCGCCCCGCGCTGCAGCCGGTGGGGTCGTCGCCCAGCGGCCGCGACGCTATCGTGGACGTAGGCCCTCCGAAACCAAGGATAACGGACAGAAATAAAAATAGCGCTGCTCTCTTAGGTCCGTGGAAGGCCTTGAACCTCGAACTCGGGTTATGACGCATGCATTCGGAGCAACGGGGGGCAGCGCTCCGCTCAGGCGAGGCGGGGGCGGGCGCCGTTGAGGTAGGCCAGCCGTCGGCAGCGCTGCTTGCGGGCTGCCTGCCTCGTCCCGCCCCGCCGCCCCGGCGCGTGGGCGTGCGAGCCGCGCTGTGCTGCAGTTTGGGACCTTTGGGCGTGAGTGAGTACGTGCGTGCAGCGACAAGGGCTGGAGAGGTCGCACCTAGACACACGCTGCGTCGCTGAGCCGGCCCCGGGCCGGGAATTCCAAGACTGAACCTCCTCTCACCTGATGCCGGGCTGGGCTGGGCTGTCTCGACTGGGCGCGGCGGGGCGGGGTGGCCGGCAGCGGTGGGGCGGGAGAAAGAGCCCGCAGGAGAGCTGTCCGGCAAGGTCAGGACTCCCGAGGACGACTGGACGTGGACGACCACTCTCGTCTCCGAAAAACTGCGCTGGCTGGTGCGACCACGGTTCGCTCGACCGCGTCTTGGCCACTTTTCACGTTGACACTCACACTCACACAGCCACGGCACGGCTCACTGCTGTCCCCACTCTACGTCGCACGACGATGCGCCACACGACACTTTGTCTTGGAAATCTTCTCAAATCACACTCACTGTCCTTCTTCGCTGCTGAACTAAGTCACACGCTCACTGCCATCGTGCTGCTGACGTTTCGGGGCGAGCACCGCGACGTGACGCGAGCGTCACAGGGATGGACGTGACACGGACGTGACGCGAACGTAACGCTACAGCCTCTCGACACGGCGGTCCTGACGCGACTGAGCCTGGCGCTGGCGGCCGGGCGGGGCCGGGCCCGGGCGCGGCGCGGGCACGGCGAGCGGCGGCGCGGCCAGCGGCGAGGGGGAGGGGTGGGGGGAGGAGGGGAGGGCCGGAGGAGGCAGAGAGGTGGGTAGGTCGCCGCCGTACGCCTCGGCTCGACTCGGCTGCTTTCGGCCCGACCCGAACCCGTCTGTACAGTCGCTACCCACTCTGTACGGGTGCGTGCGCGGTGCGTACATGTCGAACACCCGCCTCCCGCCCCGCCCCGCTCCGCGCCGGCGCTGTTGTTGTGATCGTGCGGAATCGGTCTGTTGACGTTAGTGTCACCCTTTGGGCAGCCCTCTAATAGGTTCGCTACCCACTCTGTACGGGTGCGTGCGCGGTGCGTACATGTCGAACACCCGCCTCCCGCCCCGCCCCGCCCCGCCCCGGCGCTGTTGTTGTGATCGTGCGGAATCGGTCTGTTGACGAGGAAAACCGCTGGGCCCCAACAAGTCGCTGCCTCAAGGATCGCGAAAGAGAGAAACTCTTGCTGTAGCGCAATTCTCTTTGCCGGGCGCCAGGAGGCCGGGAGTCGCCTGGCCTAGCCTGGTACGTTAGTGTCACCCTTTAAGCAGCCCTCTAATAGGGGCGCTTCCGGCGCGCAACATCCCTGACCGCTGACCGAACCTCCCTCCCCCCCCCTCCCCCGGACCCGAGAACATTCTCACGCGACACACGACCATCGCCGGTACATTTGTTCGGACGAACCTGTGTCTGTTTCTGGTCGGGGTCAAGGCCCCTGCCGAGCTGCCTGCTCCTCCCGCCCGCGGCGGTGTGGGGACGGTGGGGTCCCAGGCCAGCCGAGTGGGGCCCGCGGGGCGCCGCCGCCTCAATACGTACACTCCGTACATACAGGAACGTGTTTTGGTTCCAAATGGCGCGGCGCCGAAGCGTCGAAGGTGCGGCGCGGTGGGACCGCGGGGCAAGGGGCGTATGCAGCGCGGTTGGGCGGACGGTCCCTCGGCGCGGGACCGCCCCTAAGTCAGCGGCCGGGTATCGGTACGCCCCCCCCCCCTCCATCCCCTTTCCGTTTTGTAACGCACGTTCAGCCCTCCTGCACTGTCTGTGTACTCATGGACTGGTCACACTGGATATGTCGTACCTTAGCACGGGTCACGGGTGCTATAGAAATTTTGAATTTAATGCCCATGTTAGGGCGCTGAAGAACCTTAATAATTAATGCCTTCGTAAGGGCACTAAACGAAACCTGTGGCTCCAAATACATATACTTTCCTTTGTTTCACCAGTGCAATAATGCCTTCTCGCTCACAGCCCCCGCACTTCAGGCCTGGAGAGGGGCAGTGTGGATTTTCTCGTTGTGGCGCATAAAAATAAACTCGGAATAATAAGCCTCGACACACGTCGCGCCGGTTGTCGCGGCTCCCGAAACATTTTGAGCTTGCCGACACGCAGCAGCAAGCAGCGCAGTCCGCGCGACCGAGGCGAGCCGAGGCGCGAGCCGATTGGGAGGAGAGATTCTCTCTCGCCGCGCTCGCCGTCAAGGTCAGCCAATCTGTGATTGTACCATGTAGTAGTGCAGCCGGACAAGAAAGAGAGAGAGAGGGGGGGGGGGAGTTAAGTTTGCACGTCTTCGATTTCTCGCTGCTGAAAACCCAAAGCGTCACACGTCACCCGGGGCCGCGGAGCCGTGAGCCATTATCACTCGGCCGCGCCCGGGATGTTCTGTGACGAGATGGGCCGCGTCCCGCCGAGTCAGGTCCCCCGGTCTGTCCCGGTGCGCGTGCGGGGGAGCTCGCGGGCTCGTCGTCTGCAGACACACTCTCCTCCCGCGCCAGCTGACTTGGGAGTGTCGTAGCATATGAATCGATCCGGGTATTTCCTGGCGAGGAATACACAAGCGATTGGAGAAAGCCGCGCGTTTATCGCGCGGAAAGCAAAGCGGGCTGGAGTGCAAAGTTTGCGGCGGCGGAGCATAGGGCGCCCTGGCGACAAACGCGAGTCCCGGAGGCGCAGATACTCACACGGGACGCAGCGTGTTCTGCGCGCTGTAGCAGAGCAGGGCGTCAACCCACCCTCCTCTGTGATGGGGGGGGATGTGGGGACACGCCCGCGGTGCCGGTAGACCTGCCCTGCGCGGAAAGACGCGGGCCGCGTTTGGCGCAAACTCGTAAAAATTACGTAATAGGGCGATAAACCCCTCGGCGGTTGGTGGCGGGTACTTTATGGTGACGCGGAGGGTGGGGGGCGGTGAATAGAAGGCGGGGGGAAGTCTGGTCGCGCCGCCGCCCGATAGATCGTGTTCTGATAGCGGTCCGGGCCCGATAGGCCACCGGGCCGCGAGGAGCGCGTCCGGGACCCTGTCGTCCAGCGCCATGTGCGTCGTCCTGGCGGCTGGCGGCCAGACCCGGCGCGGTGTATCAGTTCCGCGCCATTGGCGCCGCTGCTGCCGCCGCCGTCGCCCGGCAGCCGGGGCTGATATGAGGTCACAGGCTCGTGCTCACCAGCACACCTCGCGGCGCGGCGGCGTGGCGCTGCGTGGCGGAGGTGTTGTCCCTACGTCGCCGGGCCCCCGCAGCCCCCGCTGCGGCCGCACGCACTCGTTTGTACCCGACACATGTCACTGACATGCACCCGAGCCTGGGCCCCAACTGTCCGCGCGTCCGCGCGTCCTTCTGCACGTACTCGTCACCAGCCGCACCGCCCGTAGCGGCTCTTCTTTAGCCTGTGCATCTGAACAGTCCTGATGATGCCTTGCGCGTGAAACTTACTTCGGCCCGTAACAAGTTTGAGAAAGAATCGATCAAACAAATTTTGCTGGTGTATTTCTGACTTCTTTCGCCTGCTCGTCTGGACTCTGGATCTGAAAGGAGGCTGAACGGTGGGACGGAGGGGCACCTTTCGGCCGAGTAGATCGGCAGCAGGCTCGACCGGCTAAACCGGCCGAACGTTGTGCCCCTTGTGTACTACGCCGCGGAGGGGCATGGCATGGCATGGCGGCGCGGGGCGTTGGCCTGCGCTGCTCCAAGGGATTTGCATAGGCAGCTCGTCGCCCTGCAACTGGGTGCTCTTTACACTTTTTATAGAGCTGCCGTCCGTGCCACTCCACTAAAATGCATTTTCTTCCCGCGTTTATTTCTCTAATTTACAACCGCGGAGAGCCGTCGTACCTCTCGACACCTTGTTTGCCACGAGAAAAATTATGTTTTCGAGTTTGACCATAAAACCGTACTATTTTTTTTCTTCTCATTTTCATTGCCCCAAAATATACGACGGAAAACTGCGTCGCGTTATCGTAAACAGAGCAGAGCACACTGACCGTCGTCGTGATACCTGGTGGGACACACAAAGGGGAGTTACCTGTATATACCTGGATCCTGCTTACAACACTCGGCCGCTCCACGGCGCTGTTGCCCGTATGACTTTGGGAGGCTGTACGTATACTTACGGCTGGACTCGTCCTGGGCTCGGCTCGTCTCCGGCCCGACTCACCGGGGCCCGGCTGGACCCGGAGCCGTCAGCAGCGAGCCTTCTCGACGAGCACGTGACCGCCAGGCACAGGTACACACCGGCTGTCCTGGCACGGGGCACTCGGTTACGAGGAGGGGACCGAGGGGACCCCACTGGGAGTCGTGTGGTGAGCCTTTGCTCGGTAAAGTGCATGGTACGTACGTACATTACGTGGCTCTTATGCGCAGTACAGTAGCTCTCTGATCACGGTGCGGCGCCAGCAAGCGACCTGCCCAGCGCCTCGGCCCGGCCTGCCCGTCGTGCCCCGTGGCGCCTCTGGGCTGCTGGCGTGGCGCCGGGGCCGGCCGTCGGCGCCCGCCTCGACCACCTCGACCGGGCGGACAGGCGCCGGCGCTGTCACCGCGAGAGTCACTCGGAGGAGGTCTGTGCCACAGGAGCCACACAACGTGCGGGTGTAGCAAATAGAGAAGACGCCCGAGTTAAGCGGGATTGCCTGCTCGAAGGCGCCCCATGGCGCCATACGACCTTACGGAGCAGGCAAGCCTGTCTACGCAGACACAGAGGTCCTACTATATGCCGCGCACTTTCGTAGTTATACTGTACACCGCATGCACGGGTGCGGGCGGGTGTGCGGTGTGCCTATTCTCGCGCTGCCCACGGCTTCTTGTGGCCCCGTGCGAGTAGGCAACCCGTCCGCACACGTGCATACGGTACAGTGTAACTACGAAAGTGCGCGGCGTGTACCAGCCACCTCCTGGTATGTTACACCCTGTACATTCAGTTCAGACCGGACATGGCTCCACGGAGACATGGGGCGGAGACTGTGGGACGCACCTTGCGTGACAACCAACCCATCTCGCTCCCCTCTTTGCCTATCGTCAACGTCAGGTGTACGGTGTTCTGTTTATCTCAATGTATTGGATTTACACGTGCGTTAGAGTGTACTATAATAGTTACTTTTGGTTTTCCAACCTCCATTCCGCCGACTCTATGCATTCAGCGTGTGGTTCGAAACTCAAGACGATTCTTCCAGGAATTGTGTGGCCAAGCGAGTTACCTTAGAGAGGAGGTCCCACCTGGCCGTTGGCCAAGTTTTCTGGTTCTTGAAAACAGGGCACCTCTTTTGGCTGGCTGCCCCACGACGAAGGTTTGATTCCAGGAGCGAGACTCTAGAAGATACTGTATTACTTAGGAACGTCCCCCGACCCCTCCCGTCACACACACACAAGCATGCCCCCCCCCCACACACACACACCTGACCTCTTCAAACTGGTCACGGCACTAGTCGTTGGGGGCTGCGGCTGGTGCTGGTGACACTGTGAAAATGTATTCAAATTTTTAAATATGTATATCCAGCGTGGATATTATTGTCACTTCCTCACAATAACCCCCAGGTAACCCCTGGCGAAGCTCGCGCCCACGCGCAGCGCGCTTGCTGCGCAGAGGTCCCGCTGCTGTCATTTTCATTCGGAAATCCCCCCGTGCCAGCTCGCGCCCGCCCGGTCCAGCATTGGCCGCGATTTG